TTAAAATGTGTAAAGGACACAAAAAAGGAAAATGGTCGGGTTATAGATTTTGACTTCTTAACTAGAAAATTGACTCAAAATAGATTTTCTGATTTACAATGAATCAAAAGAAAAAAAAAACCTTCGAGCATAGCAAAACTGGCACAAATGTATCAAGCTGCAAATGAATAAACATTTGAGAAGATTTATTATTAGAAATTGCAATAAATTTTCAAAAGATGAATTGATTTTAGTTAAAAGGTATAACTGACAATTTATTGGGCGGGAAGATGCATTATTTTCCAATTGTTATCCACCTACAGTAAAACTGATTTGTGTCCTATTGTATTTTATGGAAAAGGAGAGAGCAACTTTCAGTGATTTAGATTAAATGTATTAATCATAACCAGACACTGTGAACGATATATCTACTATTCAAGAAGATTTTTGACATTTAATTCTGTAGCAATATTTTGACTCTGTACCTCTCTTCCTAAATCTAATTCCTGCTACAGTTGGCAGATTTCTTCCTCTAAATTTTATGAGACTTAAAGTAGCATTTTAACCACCCATGCGGTAAATAATGCAGGATTAGAAATATTTAGTGTTTTGTTTCCCTTTGAAGACTACAAATCCATCAAACCCAAAAGGGGTTTCTTTTAAAAAATCTACAATTTTAGCCATACCCAATATTAAGTACAGCGAAATTGACAAAGAAGGAAAGCATAGGAAAAACACATCTTTTAAATATTCTGGCATCTCTGAAGCCAGCTTTACCTTAACATATACGATTTTTAAAAATTATCATAATGCAGGTTAATAATTAAGTGTTCAACACATTTAAAAAACTGTATCAGAGACAGATAACATAAGACAAATCCTGAACAACAAACTGCTCTAAATGTGTGGGATCAGGCTTCTCTGCACTTAACACACATTTCAGTGCACACTACCCATTTCAAAAAGTTGGGCTAGGTGTAAAGCTCCATATCTACCATTCATGAGATATCTTTAAGGGCATTCCTTATCAGATTAGGTTCATGTACAGTCAACTTAAACAACAGTACTAATTTATTTTGGACTCACTAAGCCCTTACTCTCAGCAACTTAATGAGGAAGTAAGAATTCAGACTCTATTCAGCAGGCCGAGGCAAAGAGGAAGTCACAAAAGCAGCAAAATCAGGGACCTGGACAGGGGACAGATTGGATTTGTATTCAGTGTGGAAGGGATTGTCACTCTCAAATTGGCCTCCTCAGCCTCACTAGAAGCTGTTCCAAATCCTCCATACAGAGCACGTTACCATAGTTTTTCGAGACTGAAGGATGCCTAATTCAGCAAGTAAACATAAGCACAGCAGCATACTTTCATGCAGACTGGGGATCTAGGTCTCAAAAAACTGAAATGTTTCAGCCCTCACACTCTTTATTCATCTTCTAAATAGGAAGTGACTATTACAATATGTTACATTTGCATCCAGCGCTCCCTCTTGTCCACATATACACTGCTCCAACTTCTTCAAATGTAATCTCCATCCCACCTTCAAATATGGTGTTTTTGAAACTGAAATGTATACCAAGGTTATCTTCTAAAGTGAAAAGTGGCATTAAATCCAGCCTGGAAATAAGCATTATTTACAGTGGCATTTGTAGGTTGCATTCATCATTTTTCTGGAAGATATCTATTTACCTTATGGACTGGAATTCCTGACTACATTGCTGAGGAATAGTGGATCTTTTGAGAGGCCCACTTCCTGCTGTGAATCTCTACTTTCCCTATGGCACATTTCTTCACTGCAAGTGTTGCTAGAAGACAACAACAACAAAGTCCTTGTTGAATGATCATTTCACTTCATAAATTATAAGGATGGGATTACTCTTCCTTTAAACACTCGGATTTGCAGATTCTATATTCTCATTTAGCCCTGAATACCCAAGGTTTGGCAATGGCCAGGAATGTATTTGCACAGTTAATGTTAATACAGTGGTACCCTGCAAGACGATGTTAATTCATTCAGCGAAAATCGCTGTCCTGTGAAAATATCATCTTGCGAAATGCGGTTCCCCATTGGAATGCACCGAAATCCGTTTAATGCATTCCAATGGGGAAAAATTGTCATTTTGCGAAAATCACCCATAGAGAAACCGTTTTGCAAAGTGCAGATCAGCTGTAAAAATTGCTGCCTTGCGAAAATCTGTCCCCAAAACACCCATTTTGCGAGTCGCGGATTCAGCTTTCAAAATCGTCATCTTGCGAAAATCAGTCCTGAAAAAAAAGTCTTGCGAAGCACGGTCCAAAACATCGTCCAGAAAAAATCGCCTATAGGAAACACCGTTCTGCGAAGCGCTATAGCGATCGCAAAAACTCATCGTCTAGCGAATTAACGATTTTGTGAGGTCATCGTCTAGTGGGGCACCACTGTATGCTCTCTTTTCTCAGAGCTGTTCCATTTGGCTATGCTGAAACAGGCTTTTATTTCATCCCATTTCAATTACTAAAATGTGTTCTAGGTGGAATGTCCTTCAAAAAGTGCTTGGGAATTTCTGATGGTCCTTCAATGTAAACACGCATAGGAGTTTCTGGGACTGTTTTTGTTACTGTTTTAAGTTGCTGTGAATTGTTTTAAATTTATGTCAGATTTTACCATGTTTGGATTGTACTGATATTCTGACAAGTTGCTTTTCATTACTTTGTTAAGTCAGAATACTATCAACAATAACAGTGTATTTAATACATGTTGCACACAAAACATACATCAACTGGATAAAGCACAGAGTTTCCTCCAGTTAGCCCATTATACCTAGTTAGTTAACATTTTATTAAGTATTTGCTTTCTCCAGTTGGATGCACATTTTACATGGAATAATAACAGTAGTAATAGCCGTTACAATTGTGATGATGGCAATATTTTATGCCTAATAATTTTGCTACAACTAGTTGAGTGCCATAATTCAATTCTACCATAGCCCACACAGGTTGTTTGTCGGTATTTAGTGAAATTAAGCTCAGAGTTTCCTGCAGCTAGCTCATTATACCTAGTTAGCATATTGCCAGGAGACATGATATTATGTTGCAGGGATACCACTGTTTGTACAGAATGGCAGAATCAGGTCCAGGTTTGCAGTGCATGCAAAGGTTCTGACATGGCCCTGCACTCAGATGATACCTTGAATGAGAAAATGTCTTTTCTCAACTTTCTTTCCTTCATAGGTATTGAGCTGCTGATACTGTGCAGGCATAACAAACCCATCTGTGTTAAAAGTGAAAGAATTAGATCATCATCCCAATTCTGTCCAATAAGTTGCATTTGCTATGAGCTTCTAACATTAATCTTTCTAACAGCACATTTAGTTCCAGTGTAACAATCTAATAGCAGTAATTACTTCTTGTTCTGCATTATCATATGCCAGAGGTATTGCATTCTTCCTTCGTTTTTGTTATTGGATTATCAACATTTTAAATACTGTCTTTGAACTTTCCTTACCAATAGCTAATAAGTATACTGTTTTCCCTTGAAGCCCAGATCTCCAAGGGAGATGTACTGGATATGACTAGGAGGTACAGGAGACAAAAGATTGCCAGGCTGCTGGTAATGCATGACACTGTGCATGACAATCTATACTGAAATGTACTATTGCCCAATAATGCAGATATGCTCACTTCATTGTGCCTAAAAATTAACATCAAGGAAACTTACAAATAGGGGAGGCAATATAAGCAAAGAAGATTGTCTAAATAAATATATTTACTACCAGCATTTACAGAATAATGAAAGCACACAATTCTGTCAAAAAGATATGTTCATAAATTAAATGAGTAGTACAGCTATTGTTTTTACACCATCAGAAGTAGCTTCTGAAAACATTTGGCTGTACAAAATATCCGTCTTTCTGACGATTATTCAGCCCGGCCAAATACATCTCTATATGTTATAATTTTATAACATCCGCTATGTAATATGCAGGATGAAGACAAGATTTCTACTATAGACACACTGTTTCAGATAATTCTTTACTCTCTTTATATTTATACACAAATACAGTATATCTCTATCAAATGATATCTAATCACATTGATACAATTTAGAGGGAGGCAGTTTTTTGTGTGTGGTTAAGCCATGTATCATCAACACCATGAAGTTAACCTATCAGTTGTAATAGCTTCTATAAAATACCGGAGTGAGATTGCAATAAGCCTAGGAAATGGGCTACAAATCCCAGATATGCTCAAGCAAGCAGTGAACCAAAAATAAAAATAGGGAGACCTGAAACCAGCAACTAGATACCATTCATCTGATTCATTACCCTAAAGGCAAAGTTCACAGGCCAAGGTTTTAATGTAGACTATTCAACTCAGAACTGCTGTTTCGGAATAAACTTTTCCAGGTTATCCCAAATGATTTCCAGATTCTATCTCCACTCCCAAAATCATATTAGATTTACCAAGCAGGGAAGCAGAAATTTAGGATTATGTTAGTTACAACTAAATGCTTCAAATGAAGCTAATCAGTTAGCTACGTTTTTCATTTTCAGGTGACATTATGGCTTCTAGGAAAAACATTCACTGATTCCAGTACAACAGAGCTATATTACTACCAACGGCACTAAAGGAGATAAGGCAGTTCTGACTATGGATCCGGTAATATAGATGCAGAAGAAAAAGTGTATATAGTCCATAAACTAATTTCCACCAATTGCAACAAAATCATTTTGTGTTAAAAGATAATGAGGAAGTGTTTCCAAAATAAATAAATAAGCAGATCACTTTAATATATAAAGCTTCTCTAGACTGTACTTAACGCTGTCATTTTGACCTTCAGCAACGGCATTCACATTGTGTTCAATGAATTGATACAGTTCTAAAAGGATAGCCAACTATTAAAAACGTCAGAACTGAGTGTCACCTTTCTGATTTGTATCCTGTAAAAGAATTACTTTCACTTATGCACAAACAGTAGATACTTTCAAAATGCTATAATTTAATGGAAGATGCAGTTCATTGTAAATTATGAGAACCAGCCTACCATTGTGGTTGGGTTTCCTGCAGCTTTTTTGATGTTCCTTGCTGGCATTCCATGAAGGTGACTAAATCGTGTCTGGAAGTCTACGAAACAGAATTATAGCTTAACCTAAACACACCCAGCATATATAGATTTGCAGTTATTAAAGACCAATCTAGGAAATAAAGATTCCTTCTTGTCTTGTATTTTTATTGCTAGCCTTAAGCCTGCTGTCCTCTTTTGTTATAAAAACTGCACACCCACTGCAAATGAATCAAATACGTAAAATAAAGGTACCATATTTGCTGTCAACTGAAGCCAATGCAGAGATGATTATTTTCCTGCAAAACTGATAGTGCCAAATATATACTATGTAATCTCATTATATAATATAGGTTTGTCCAAGTGAGAACTATGGGAATTTTAAACCACTCATATTTATACTGGAAGCCATACAGAGCTGGCAAATACTAACTGTTATGCACCATCAAGTTAGAACTGACTTATAGTGACTTTAAAAGGGCTTTCAAGGTAAGTGAGATATTTTACCAGTTATACCCTTCCAGTGAGTTTCCATAGCTGAGTGGGAATTTGAACCCAGGTCACTTGAACCTAGTCCATCACTACATCCACTATACCACACTGAGTGTAACAGCTGTATGGGCACACAAATAAGCTTTTTCATATGAAGATGGCACTTACACTTTCTAAAAATAAAATGAGGGAAATCTCTCCTTCAGTGTTGCCTATCCGTTCTATATCTTTACTTACTGCGTTGTAAGATATAGAGCCACATAAAGACAGTATTTTCTGAAATGCAATAGGGCAGTTTTGCACTTAATGCTAGTATCGCATTAGGGCAAATCCAGTACTGCAACTGTGTCAGGAAGAAGAACCTCTTCTTCGCTCATTTCTATTCAAAATTTATAAATGCAGCCGTATTCCCCTGTAGATCAATGTAGATGAGCAAATAACTAAACCAGATTGCAACCTGATCTTTTTTCTAGTTAAATTTCACTCTTCAAGAAAATTTTAGAAAGCTGGAAAGGCATGCTATTTACTGACATGGCATTTTAGAGCAGAAATAACATTCTCCATTTCCCCTTTTTAAAATGGCTATAAGTGCAGATGTTAATTGTGTTCCAACCTTTCATTTACCAAATATTCAGTGCTAAACTGTGTTGGTGGTTGCAATGGAACTTTACTCCTCTCCTCTTCCTACAGCAGCCCTCCATGGTGCCTGAAAACCCAAGAGCTCTGGGGATTTCCCCTGTATTATAGAGGCAGCAACAGGGAGGGGGACTGTCCCACTCAGTTGCATTGGATTCCACTGTCGCCCATGTGGCAGAAGTACACCACTGGATGCTGCCTATAATTAAGCCACCATTTTGGAGACTATTGCAATATTACTGCAGGTAAAGGGGTGCATGAAAATAGCAATGTTCAACAAATGCCTACAACTCTCACTCTAAAATGTGAAGATGTCTCATGGTTGTCTAAAACTAATTATGGCTTTTGCTATTACTTCCTATGAAGAATTATCAGAACTTGAAAACTGCTCTGAACCAGAGAGCATGTTGGGATGACAAGACAACAAAAGCCTTGAGAAAATGAGAAGAGCCAGGCCTATCTAGTCCAGTACTCTGTTGTCACCATGACTAACTAAAAGTTCACAAGCAGGACATCACAGCAATAGCACTCTTCCATCCCTGTTCCCCAGTGACAAGAACTGGTTTATGGTATTAGTATACAGTAGTGCCTCTAATCCTAGACCTAACATTCAGCTACTTGACAAGCAGGCATTTGTAACCTGATAACCATGACAACTATGGTGAATGCCACAAGAGTGCTATATAATGCCACCTATAGCTCTGTATAGGTAAAGGTAAAGGTTCCCTTTGACATTTAGTCCAGTCATGTCTGCTCATCCCCATTTCCAAGCCATAGAGCCAGCGTTTGGCAGTAGACAGGGTCTGTGGTCACGTGGCCAGCACGACTAGACATGGAACGCCGTGACCTTCCCACCAAGGTGGTACCTATGTATCTACTTGCATTTACATGCTTTTTGAACTGCGAGGTTGGCAGGAGCTGGGACAAGCGACGGGAGCTCACTCTGTTGCGTGGATTCGATCTTACGACTGCTGGTCTTCTGCCCTTGCAGCACAGAGATTTAACCCTCAGCGCCACCACGTCCCTCTATAGAGCTCTGTACAGAGCCACAGCTAAATTTTACAATAGCCAAAATGCTTCTATGACAATGTACAGTGGTGCCCCGCATGACGACGACCCTGCTAAACAACAAAACCGCAGGATGATGACTTTTTGCGATCGCTATAGTGATTTGCAAAACAGGCATTTCAATGGGGGAATTCCGCTTCATGATTATTTGGTTCATGCTTCGCGGACCGTTTATCCGCACGACGACTATCTTTACAACTGATCATCAGCTTCACAAAATGGCTTCCTGTCTTTTTTTGCGATCGCTATAGTGATTTGCAAAACAGGCATTTCAATGGGGGAATTCCGCTTCATGATGATTTGCTTCATGCTTCGCGGACCGTTTATTTGCACGACGACTATCTTTACAACTGATCACCAGCTTCACAAAATGGCTTCCTGCTGTTTTCCGGACCCATGCTTTGGAAGACAGAGATTAAAAACAGCTGATCGGCGCTCACAAAATGACTGCCCTATGGAGGATCTTCGCTTGGACGACGAGGTATTTTTCCCATTGGAACGCATTAACTGGTTTTCAATGCATTCCAACGGGGGAAACTGTTTTCGCATGATGATGATTTCATTGTACAGCAATTTCAGCGGAATGAATTATCGTCGTCATGCGGGGCACCACTATATTTGTAAATTAATATGAAAGCTAGAGAAGAACTATGCAGTAAATGACAGGGGTCTGATTTTTGAACATCAATGCCTCATAATCTCCTACTAATGTTTATCCTGGTTAGGCCTGATTAGGGCCAAAAAAATCCCTCAGAGGGCCAACGTTACACAATGGTAATGGCAAATACTGCAGAAATTTGAGAAATTCTGAATAGTTAATTTTTTAGCTATAATAATAAAAAAACATTTGCATACTGTAAAGTGATACGATTTCAATCAGATTATTTTTTTTTTAAAAGCTGCTGACCTCTCTTTCCTGAATGGGACATAAGAGGGAAGCTGCCTGTTAGAATACTTTCAAAGACTGGATCAGGTAACTCTTTCTCCAGTTCTGCAGAGTCCTCCTTTTCCCACCAAGGAATGATTCCAGTGATTCCACAGGCACCTCCAGGTTCACTTTCATGAAACCAGTCACTTTGCTCATCATCACCTATGATTTAAAAAAAAAACACAAAGCCTCACTTTAAAAAAAGAGAGAGAGGTTCAAGTTTATTAGGCAAAAACACTGCCTTCATAATCAGAATCAGTTGCTATACACTAGTTGTTTCTATTGTTGTTCAGAACATGGTGTTTACCACCATCACAGCAAAGCATAAACAAGACATCCACAAGAAGACATAAAATATAATGTTTTACAACCAAATCAGAAATGTGAAACATAAATTAGCTAATCCTTTCGTGATGACAAAGAAATCCCTTTAACTTACTGCAGTCTCAGCTCTAACACACATACACACAAACACACACAAATACAAACAAGCTTTAATCTCCTGCAGTCAATTAAAGGGTACAAAACTGCAAACTAGTTCTCTGCAGTTGGTAATGTTATATAATTAACTTAATTTCATGATTTGTCTGGTACATAAAATGGGGAAACTACTATGAACAGATGTGACCAAATAAAATTAATCTGATTAAATTCATTAAGAAATAAGTTTTGAAAAAGTTCTTTTTAAATGGAAGATGACAGTACCACAGGAAACATCAAGAGTCCAGAGATATTTTAACAGGTCTTCAAAACTAAAAATTCAGAAGTAAAACAAAATGATGCACTTCAGTAAATCAGCATCTGAAACTCTTACATACATCTATGCTGAAGTCACTTTGGAAATCAGTATCCAAAAACATGTTTTATTTTCTGCGCCAGGCTGCAGCGGAACACTAGAAAATATGGCGGGGGATATCAGAGACTACAGTCTGGAACTCTAGTCAATTATGGAGAGAGTTCCACAGCCTAGCTGATGGCACTTTGTCACCCTGAAAGCAGTGAAGAAGGAAGTGGAAGAGTCGGACACGACTAAACGACTAAACACAAACACACACACATCTTGCAAGTCTAATAACATTCTGGACAGTAGTAGTAGAAGGTTTGCAAAATGGAAAGGTACACATAGCTGTAAGGATACAGTCACCCTGCGAAGAGCATTCCAAAAAGTTTACCCATGCACATTAAAGATAAATCTTGTACTGTATCTCTTTCATTATCTCAAACCATGTACTTAATCTGGTTGCTTTACTTTTTCAGATTATATTAAAGGAAGTGCTTTCATTTGTTTGCACTTACCAGGACTCTGCTATTACAGGGGTCCCCAACCCCCGGTCCATGGCCTGGGCTGGACTGGGCCGTGGAGACAGAGCTCCTCCCCCCCTGCTGGACTGGGCCATGGAGACAGATCTCCTCCCCACCGCACGCACTCCCCCCCTGCACAGCCCCTGCACATGCGCACGAGTGCACTCATGCTCCCCACCCCTTCGCACATGCATGCGAGTGTCCCCCAAGCACCCCTGCCCTTCGTGCATGCGCGTGAATGTGCATGTGCCCTTGCGAGTGCCTTCACTCCTTTGACCAAGTGCAGGGGGTTGCCCTGCCTTCCCCAACAGGTCCGCAGTGTTAAAGAGGTTAGGGACCACTGTGCTATTAGTCAATTACTACATACTTAATACTGTATTTGGATACAGAGTAAAATTTGTTTGAATAGGATCAGTACAGTTTACACCAACAGTAAGTGTATGTTTTAATGGAAAATATTGTGTCAGCTGCTTATTACCAGGATGGAATCATTCAGTCATACTTATTCAATAAGAAGATGCAGATTGCAAGACAAACAATTTAATTTCATTGATTGAATGATTCTTTGAGGAGGCAAACCAGGCCATTAAAATATACTAATACCCTGTATTCCCGAAAATAAGACAGAGTCTTACATTAATTAGGGCTTATTTTCAGGAGATGTTTTATTTTTTTCATGTACAACAATCTACATTTATTCAAATACAGTCATGTGATCTTCTGGTTGCTGCACAATGGTGGAGGGCAGAGATTCACTTAACAAGGGCTTATTTTGGGGTAGAGCTTATATTACAAGGATCTTGGAAAATCATACTAGGGCATATTTTCAGGTTAGGTCTTATTTTAGGAGAAACAGGGTAAATACTGTACTATATACAGAAAGAATAATATATGCTGGCAGTGATAACCCCTAAATCAGAACTACCATAGAATTTAACCCAACTTATCTCCCTTCTGCTAAAACTATTTACAGTAGCTCAATTGGAGACACAACATACTCCAGAATTAGTCCTGAGGAACCCTGTTTTTAACCCGGAGAATCCATGGCTGATGAGATTACATGTCCTGCCACATGTGCAGCCTAGGACAAGCTGCATGCTCCTAGAGAGCTACCTGAAGGAGCTATGGGCACACCATTTCTGAATACTTAAAAAACTTTAGGGTTGCTAAAAGTTCAAATCAATGAGGTTGCACATAATTATTAAGAAACATTAGAAAGCTCAGCAGTTCTCTCCTCCAGTTCCACCAAGAGGAGCTTACTCTGCTCTATGATCTATTAAATGAAGCGTAACTTGTTCTTAAATAGATGACTGAATGTCATTTGACACAAAGGGCACAAATGAGGGCCCTGTCCTTTAGCACTATGAGGCTGCTATCTCATGTCTTCATTTTGGAGTGACCAACATCTGCCAAGCTATGTGATCATAACTGAAAATTGGTGGATGGTTGTGTTTTTGTTGTGTTTTTTTTTTAAATAATTGCTGTATATGCTTTGTGTCTTTAACTCCACTTCGCATTTTTTTAAAAAATCCAAACAGTTTGAATTGTTTTACTGCAGACATACATCGATACTTGTGTAAGGCTGCTGGCTGCATATTATAACTGAACATCTGACACTGCCTTACATCAAAGTCAGCCCCTTGGTTGACATAGCTCAGTTTTCCTCTTCTTTGATGGAACAGAGCAAGAGTGAGAACCATGATGTGCTCCAGATGCTGCTAGACTGCAATTCCCATCAGCACTAGGCAGCATAACAATTAGCAAGGACTGCTGGGAGTTTCAGATCAACATCTGGAAGGCTACACATATCCCACCCTAAGAAGAGATTTTTCTTAGGTCTGCTACTTAAGAAGAATTATCGCACCATCTACATAATGGGGGGACCCATGAACACACTCAAACTGATTACATTAGTTGTAAATTCCTTTGCATGATAATAGGTAATATTCTTGGTGTTTCCCCCCACATGAGACACACATCATTTCTTGTTGTTTTAAACAGATGCTTTGTTTCTTATCTGATCAGTAAAACAGAGCTGGGCAACTATTGCCCTCCAAATATTTCTGAATTGCAGTTGCTAGAACTGCTTGTCACAGGCTACAGCGTACCTAGGATTGATGGGAACTGCAGCCCATTTAACATATGGACAATCACTGTTGCCAATCCCAAATAAAAATGACTAACTTTAATACTATTATAACTACACTACTTCCTTGTGCAATTGTATCACTTGTGGAAAAAGAGGTTTTCATATGCATAGCAACAATTCAATAGTATCATCTTCAGTTCCTGAGGTGATACTGGGGCTAGGGCTCAGTACGAGTGCTAGAGGATCAATCATGCATTTGTTTTTACATTTATACCCTTACACTTGATTGTACAAATTGCTATCACAGTTACTATGTCTCATAATATCAGGATAGTCCCATCCAGCTAATGTAGGATGTAGCAACATTTTCCAACCCGTAAACAAGCACGTACAAACCAAAACTTCCTGCCACAATGCCTTACGCTTCAAAAAAAAGCTCAGTCAGAAGGTATGCATATTTATTCTTTAGAAATTAAGTGTGGTGCATTGTCATCTTAAAATCCTAAATGACTTGGGCCTGAATTACCTGGAAAATCCCATCTCCATTTATGAGTATACCTGGATTTGAAAATTATCAGATTTCCTCCCCCCCCTTTTTTTTTGGTCTTGCCTAGAGATGCAATATTTTCCAAAATTTCCCTTTTTTCCATTTTTTTCTGGAAAAGAATGGAACATTTTGGAAATTTTACAACTCTAGAGATATCTTATATAAATAAAGTCTTCTTCATGTTATATAGTTTGAATACCATGTCACAGACATGTTCTTCATAATTGTAAAAGAACATATCCCACACTCCATTTTTTTCAAAATTTCCAGAAAAAAATTACTTTGGAAAAAAAGTTTTCTGGTTTCTTTCCAAGCCATCCCCTCGCTAGTCTTGCCTCCCTCATAGGTGCATTTGCTGATGACATGTGAGGGACCGTTCTCTGTCACCCCTAAGCTGTGGAATCCTTTCCCATGGGAGGCCAGGCTAGCCTCTCATTGCTGTCCCTCTGCAAGCTTGCACACAATTCTCTTTAGGCAGACTTTTTCTCAGTAACTGCCTACCTAATAAGGGGCTCCTAAAATAGGGGTGCTGGGTATTTCTTAATTGTTTATTTTAATATTGCAAGCTGCCTTTTGTCTTCTTAGGAATAAAGGCAAGAGTGCAATGATTTAAAATAAATAAATATAATAAATCTTGGTGTGTAAACATTTTTTTTAAAAATCCACCCTCAAATTTCTATGTAGTAGCTTTAAAAAACTGGGCAATGTTTACAAGACATAAAATGATACTGTCTAGAAAGCAGAATAAATAAGTAAACAAATGAATACATGGTTCCAGTACCTTGTCTTCCCTCATCATTGGTAAACAAACCAGCATCACTACTGCTCAGACTGCTGGATTCGCTGTAATAATGGAGAGAAAGAAACAGATCAAAAGTGCAATTGATATCCCAGTCATAAAATTTTAAAGAGATAAGATTGCACTCAGATGAAACTTAAGCCTTAACAAAACCTAAAAGAAAATAAGGTAGTTTTTAAAAAAAAGGAAAAAAGAAACATCAAGCTGAAAATATCCCAGTTCCATTAACTATAGAACATATTATTTTTGGCACATAAAACCACAGGAATCTAATGGGACCCTGACAGTAAGCCAGATGTGACTGCAATGAGGTGCTGACACAATTGATGCATTTTATTATCTGTTTCCATCAAATGCTCAGTGCTCTTTTCTTATGCTGTGCTATTCAGCTTGATCCAAAACATCACTGCTATGTTAAAAAGAGGGGATCTCAATCAAACCATTTCAAGCTTTTCTTCAGCACACGAAACGCAAGTGTCTAGAGATATAATGACTTTTTGTAACATTTGCAAATATTCTGGAAGATACACCATGTAAAGGTACAATGGAAACCCATTATTAACAGGAAAAAAAAGAATGTTTACAGAATGACAACCTATTAAAGCAAAGGTCACCCTGAGAAAAACAATATATTCATAAATGTACAAAAAAGAAAAACATGTTTCTCTCTAACGTCCTACTGACACGTTATGTCCTAATGTGCATCATTCAAACAATGTAGGGAAATATACTGTATAGTAGTTATTCTTTCATTTCTTAATATGATATCCTGCACTTTCTCCAGTGAGCCTAAGGTGACACACAAGGCTCTCTTCTTCCCCATTCCATCCTCACAACAACCCTATGAGGTAGCTCAGATGTAGAGTCTGATTGGTCCAAGGCCGTCGAATAAATTTCATAGCTGAGTGGGGATGTGAGTCCTGCCCTCCTGAGAGCCAGCCCACCACTCTAAGCACTATGCCATATCCTCAAGTAGAGATTTAAATTAAGGGCAATATGGATCTAGCTAAATCAGGGTGTGTGTGTGGAATGGTAGTTGGCTGCAAAGGCAGCATCCAAATATTTTTTATATATAACATGTGAAACAGCTGTCAACTCTGAAACAGAAGCACATAAGCATGTTGTCTGGGGAATATGGTTTACCATTTTTCATACATCTGTTTTTTCACACATGATCATACCTTTCCCCTAGTTATTAGGATATTCAAATATAACTAAATATCCTGTCAAGAGTATTTGCTGCTTCTGTGGTTAAATTGTGCAAATACGCATGAGCCGCCTTTCAAAATGTGCTGTCAATATTCATTCTATCATACCTGTAATCATTTCCCAACATCACATCTGAAAGCAAATCCAATTTATTTCATACTAGTGAAAGTAGATAGCCTCGAGTGAGTTGAAACAGGCCTGAGTTTGATACTACAGCCATCAGGCAAAATGTTCTAGTCATCAAGAATTAGACAAACCGTGTCCCTGTCACCATGTCTGTAAAGCCATGATGTCAGGGCTTTTAGGCATACCTGCTACCATAGTACATACCCACAGTAGCTTTGTACAGGTCTGCCCACTCTGTGCCCAATCAGTCCTTTATGGGTTCATCCCTCAGCTTTAAACTTGATCAACTGCAAACAAATGTGCTGGTTAGGTCTGCCATCTAGTGACTGAAGATGGTACTGCAAGTCTCAAACTATTTCAATAACCAAATAACACAGTTGTAGGCTCCTATGGTTCTAGTGATAATGTATTCCAGGTTCAAATGTCTAGGTTTCATTATCTTGGTATTATGACTCTGGCAATCACATACATACATTGGATAACCAAACAAACTGCATCAGAACACAGACAGAGTTCTGACTCCTGTCCTCTGAAGATGCCGGCCACAGAGACTGGCGAAATGTTAGAAAGAACAACCTTCAGAACATGGCCAAAGAGCCCGAAAGACCACAACAACCATCAGATCCCGGCCATGAAAGCTTTTAAGAATACATAGGCTGGTCCCTTCATAGGTAATATGAGTTTCTCCCTATTTGAATCTGATTGTCTACTTTAAATATAGAAGAATTTATAGAAGTACTTTCTTTGTGAAATCAAATTAGACAGCTCTTTCTTTATAAATGACAGTTAGTTTTGTTTTTTGCTTCAGTAAACTGCTTTTTTAATTGTTTTAAATGGATGTATTTAATGCACTATTGCTACTGTCCTTTGATATTAGAATTATATTCAACAATTAGGAACACAGAAAGGTGCCTTATAAGAAATCAGTTCATTGGAGGCTCAGTACTGACTGCCACACCCTTTCAAGATTTTAAGGGAGAAATATTTCCCAACCTTCCCTCTTGAATGTACACCTTAATGTAGCGAGGGAATCTGAGTATGTCTGGAAGCCATGCTAACAAGAGGCTAGGCTCCATTACAAGCCTGGACTCCTACCAGGGCCACCCAACATAGATTGATCAAAAATAAAGCACATGACTAAGATGCATCAACCCTCTTCAGGATTAATGATCACATCAGCACAGAAGAATTGACAGTTCCAGGAGTGATGGAACGGAGTAACTCCTGAATAGCAACTATGTGGCAGCAATGGAAAGTGATACAGGCAAAGGATCTTCCACAGACAATGGCAGTGATACTCAAGCTAACTCTTGTTAGTACTTCACAGAAGAAAACTATGGTAGACCACTTTTGAATATTTCTTACCTTGAAACCCTTTTTAGTGAGATAATCCAAATAAGATAATGCTGGAAGATGAGACTCCTAGGCCAGAAGGCAATCAGCTGCAGGGAAACAGCAAAGGATGAGTATGAACGCTGCTGCTGCTAATGAAACAAGTAGCTTAAACCCAAAAGGACCTTCTGGACAGCCAATGTGGACAGAGGTGCAAGTCTAAACTGAACTAAAAGGAGACAGAAATAGGGTCAGAATTTTAAATGTCTTTACATACAGGTCTCTGAGATATTGCAAAGACAAAGGGGAATTAGACATGCTGAAATATCAACAGAAGAATATATTATCTGACCAGGATAAAATAAAGAGAAGGTGGAAACAATAGGAAACAATACACTGAATAACTATATAAAAGATATGCAGGAATGGAACATTTACTTGAAGAAGAATCCTGTGATGAAGATCCTTCAGTTTCAGAAAGAGAAATGAAAGCTGCTCTTGAAGCACTTGGAAGAAGTGAATCACCATGAATGGCAACAGAACTGCTCTAAGCTATACAGATTAAACCTATTAAAATCATAAGAATACACCAATAGAAAACAAAACAGCTCACAAACTCAAAATGTTGTACATTTCAATTCCCAAGAAAGGAGACACCAAAGAGTGCAGTTCATTGTAAGACTACTGCATTGATTTCTCATACAACCAAAGTAATGCTTAAGGTTTCACAACAAAGACCTTTACCCTATGTGGAGTGAGAAGTGCCTGATATTCAAGATGGATTTGAAAGGGAAGAGGTACTTAAGATCAGATTACAAATACAGTATACACTGACTACTAGAGAGCACCAACGTACTTCAACAAATCAGTCTGTGCATTACAGACTACAGCAAAGACTTAGTGAATCATGAAACACTATGGATCCTTCTTAAAAAAAGGGGTGGGTGGGTTTGCATCAGCACTTGATTGCTTTGCCATATAATATACGTATAGTGTGGACAAGAAGCTACTGTTAGCTCAGAATATGGAGAAATGGAATGGTTTCCCACAAAGCTGCCATACAAGGAAGTATTTTATCTTCTTATCTGTTCAATCTGTATGCAGAATATATCATATAGAAACTTGTATCAAGATATAGATGGAAGCAGAATGAAAAATGGTGGAAGAAATACTAGTAATTTAAAATACAGGCATGATACCATACTACAGACAGAAATGCTTCCTAATGAAGGTGAAATAAGAAAGTGCAAAAACAGTACTGCAGCTTCATATTAAGAAACCGATAATCATGTCTGCAGAAGAACTACACAACTTTAATGTTGACAATGATGAAACTGAAATTGTTAAAGATTTTGTATACTTCGGTTCAATTGTCAATGCAAATGGAGATTACAGCCAAGTCATCAGAAGAAGACTGAGCCTTGGAAAAGCAGCTACGAAGGAACTAGAAAAGATCCTCAAGAGCATGTATCACGAAGCATCACTGGAGACTAAGTTGTATATCATCTACACAGTGGTATTCCTGATTACTAGGAACAAATATGAAAGCTGAGCACTGAAGAAAGGGGGGAAAATTCAGCAGTATATTATAATGTATTATAGTATTATTATATTTTGACCTTTAAATACAGAAGTGGAGAAAAACACTGTATTATGTCATGTTTGCAAAACAAAAGGAACAAAATCTCAAAATGAAAGGAAGATTAAAAGTAACCTGTCACTCATGTTTTCATCGGAGCCCTTTTGTTCCTCATATTCCATTTTATCCTTGTTTGCCAGGTGGATTTCATCATTCTCTATGACCACTCCTTCATCCAAAATGTCTGGTCCTTGCCTACTTGCTGCTAGTTTCCTTTTTTTAATTTTGCTCTTTGCTAGTTCATGATGCTGGTAAGACCTGTTGTCATTGTCCATATCTTGATCCTTAATATTATCATACTGTTGTGGTAATGTCAATGTGTTTGTTACTTCAGAAGGTAGATCAATTGCCATTCGTTTCACCTTTCGTCGTCTACGGAGAGTCCTATTTCCCAAGCTGTCAACTGCAAGATCAGATTCATGCCAAAGAGGCCTTTTGCCTCGCAGGTTATTTAAATTTGAAGTTGGCCTGCGTTTTGCAACCAACAGTTGGTCATCAGAGTCACTATGGTCTTTCTTATTATTAACATGGTTTTCTCTATAATCCTTGGTTGGTTCTTCAAGGCTAGAATCAGACCCTTCACTTAAACAATGACCAGTCTCCCAAGGATGGTGGGTATTAAATGAACGTCGTTTCCTTCCCCTTCGCTTTCGGGCTTGGCGTTTTAGAAGACAAGAGACACTCCGAGAATGATCTCCTGTATCGGCAAAACCACCTCGTGCCTGTTCTGAACTTTCCTCCAAAGCTGAAACCAAATCATGAACTAGTTCCTCCATGGTCTTACTGAAATGCCTGTAGTTGGGAAAAACATAACTGCTATTACAAGTAATTCCATAAAAGCAAATTATCAATCTCTAAAAACTGTGACAATCAGGGATTGTAATGATTCTGGAACTCTTTTCTTCTCCTCATTTTCTAAACACCACCACTACCAACAGCAAACTAAGTACCTCAAACCTCCCACCATTTTACATATTAATATATCTTCACACGTTTTAATTTAGACAAGGTTTGCATATACTGGATTACAAACAAGACATCATAAAGGCATATGCCAAGTCATGAATTAAAAAGTTTCTGTCTTTCACAATCAGCAATTTCCTGAAATCTCTATATTTGCAGATAAGGCACAGGTCCATCTCTGCAGCAGCACAGCTTCTGCAATTACCCCAAGGATAATGGAAAACCCACCTCCTCCCAGTGAGTTGTCTTATCATTCACATAAAAGCTGGGAAAGGTAGAGCACTGTCTTATTTCAAAGGAGCTTTCAAAGAAGTGACAGAATAGTCTTTCTGTTTTCTCTTCCACAACTCCATCACAGGCTTCAGAAAGGTACAGATATTTACACTATTCCTTGCCTTCTCCAACACGTAAGTTTTTGTATCTGTCCCAGTCCTTTGCATGTGTAAGAACTCAAAGCAATGGGGTGGGATGGAGCGGGGAACAGAATTTGGTCTCTTTTCATTTTATATGGGACTTACAAAGCACTATTTTTACCTTCTGTAAAGACAGCATAGAGGGATGTGAAGAGGACTCAGGGAAGGAAAGTATTATCACAGATAATTTTCAAAGATATCACCATGTTAGTATGTTTCAGCATGTATAACAATACACCAAAGAAATTGGATTGCTACTAAGTGAAGCATAAATTTGTGGACACCTGACTACCAAAATAAAACTTTCAATGCTTCAGGTATGTAGTTTTGCTTTTTGTTACCAGTGAGGGAGGGATTCATTTAATTACTTTGCCCTTTCATTTAAATTAGCAGTTGTTATCGAGATGCCAATCTAGTGAAATGATTAACTGCAAAGATCCTTTATACTCACACACACATGTAACACAACTTTAGAAAATGAAAAATATGTCTTTCATTTTAGGTGAATAATCCTAGAACTGCAGAGCTGGAAGGGACCCTATGGATCATCATGTCCAGCCCACATCAGAGAGGAACAGTAGGGAATCCAACACTCAGTTTCCAGCTCTGCAACCTAAACCACTAAGCTCTCCAGCAGTTCTATATTAATGTGCTTAAATATTACTTATGGGCTTACATGGAGAAGCAGAATACCAAGAAAAGACTCAAAGCAGAGACACTGGGAAGAAATCACTGTATTGCTGTACCACTGCCCTCCTATACTTACAGTATTTCTATAACGTTACCTGGAATGGCATACATGCATCACAAAGGGAGCTAATTTCCTCCCTATAGTTGTTGATTGGCCTTATCCAAATGGCCTGTGAAAGTGCCTGCAATGGTAAAGTATTCATGCACTTTCTTAGTTGTGTGGATAAATGCATAAACATACATTTCTTGGGTTCCAGTGCAACCACTGGCTTAGACAAGCAAATGCCTCAATCATTCAGACTGGTACACACTGAAGACACAGAGTCTACTATCTGCTAGTCAGCTTGCTTGACTGGAAAAAAATAGAAGGTATTCATTGAAAACTAGAGATCTACTAAACTAAACTATTCTAGTGTTTTACCCCTCCCCCCCAAAAAATCAATTATTGTATATCTACTGCTCAACATCTGAATGGTGCACTCCAAGAGAAAAAGAAGAGATAGGGTAGGCCTGCAGTTTAGACTTAGGTAGCAACTGCTAATTTTAATGAAAGAACAACGTACAGAATAAAGTTATATTTGAGGAAAAACCAGTATAAATTGAGCATTTAAAATGTTTAGTCAAAACCAGTTCTAAACATTACCTTGTATACATTCAAAAGCGTGTAAATTTGTCAACTCTTAAAGCAGACTGATGCCCAAATGACGTTTCAAAAATCTTTCATACTCAACCACTGTCAGTAGATGAAAAGACCACCCATTCTATTTTAGAAACTCAAGTACTAACACTTTCAAAATAACTATACAAGCAACACTAAACATTGTTGGGTATTGAACACTCAACTTACATATTAGCAAAACAAATCTATGTTAGTTCTAAGCTGTTAGCTGTAAGCTGCCCCTGCCAAAGTTCTCTGAAGCATTTTTATATTCCACCTTCAGTATTTCACATCACACTGAAAAGACAACTATGGTAAGGCCTCTCAGCTAGTGATGAAACCTATTTCTTTTCTTACAGAAGACATTAAGCTAAAGTAATTGTAGTTTGCCTGCAATGACATTTACACTTACCTATAACAATGTTTACTAAATACTAACCTCTCTACACACTACCAAAGCAGTTATAGTTTGCAGTAATTACACTTTAATGATGTTTAAGGCTATAATCCTGTGCCCAGATATGTACACTTAACTTCCTGAATATAATGGAGTTAAATGAAGAAAGCTGAAGCCTGTCAATCCAAGCAGATAAAAAGAGAGGAATTCAAAACAAATAAAAAGACATTCTCTCTCTCTCTCTCTCTCTCTCTCTGTGTGTGTGTGTGTGTGTGTGTGTGTGTGTGTGTGTGTGTTCGTTCTCTCTTTCTCTCTCTCTCTCTTTCTCTTTGTGTGTGTGTGTGTTTCAATTAGGGTTCATTTTCCTAAGAATCTGGTTTAACATGAAACTGGAATGTAATAAAAACATGTTGACAATATTTTAAAACTGAAAAATTACTACCAATCACACAGATTGAACTAAAGTACCCTGTTTCCCTGAAAATAAGACCTAACCTGAAAATAAGCCCTAGTATGATTTTTCAGGATGCTCATAATATAAGCCCTACCCCCAAAAAAAGACCCAGTTACAAGTGAAACCCCGCCCTCCACCATTGTGCAGCAACAAAAATATGACATTATTGTATTTGAATAAATGTAGATTGTTGTACACGGAAAAAAAATCTCCTGAAAATAAGCCCTAATGCGTTTTTTGGAACAAAAATTAATATAAGACCCTGTCTTATTTTCAGGGAAACACAGTATTTTTTCAATACTGTATATAGAAGCACAGAGGGTGAAAGTAACTGACTTATGAGGTTAAGCATTGCATGTGACAAAACAATTTTTATATTGTGCTCATTACTGTTGGGTTGTTAGTTGACACAGAAGCCAGTATCTATCATAGGTGACAGGATCCAGAAGATACCATCCACCAGGGTAATCCCCATTAGTGCCATGCACTATTTTATTGCTATCTGCTGTACTTGTATCTATATATTGTACATATAGACTGTAGTTTCAGAATCCCAAAAAAACCCATCTAGCTATCTGCTGTACTTGTATCTATATATTGTACATATAGACTCTGCAGTTTCAGAATCCCAAACAAAACCCATCTCACTACAGCAGGCTTCAAGCTGAAGAATGTCACCCTCAAAACACCCACAGAGAGCAGTGGGCTCATGGGAATATGACACAAAGGCACAAACTACCTCTCATGTTTTTCAAAATGTATGAGAGAACTAGGACTTCTGTCTTCTCATGATTTGGTTTAGTATGCTTAAATGCAAAAAGGAAGAGTGAAGCAAGAAGCTCCAGGAAGTCATTATAACAGCACCTGTGGACTGTAAGACAAAAGAGTTGCAGACTTTGCTTCTAGGTGATACCATGATACAATTAGAGAACAATTATATATTGCAGCATTAATCAGTATATATGGCCCCTTGTTCTGAACATATATATGAGCATGTTGTTGGTGACAGATGGGCAAATAGTTGTGGGCTCCTTACATGATGTCTCTGTCCCTTTACAATGAATATTTATAAAATACTAAGGCTTTACATGCTGCCAGCACATCACCTTACTCAGAAGACAAGTAGAAGCATTTATTTCCACTCACAGCTTCAAAAATCAGCCTAAAGAGGAGCCTCACACAAAGCCCTTCCATTTAGAGCAGTGTTTCCCAATCTGGGGTGTGTGAAATGTTTTCTGGGGATTGTGGGTCACCTTGTATGAGTTGTAGACCTTGTTAAAATAATTTCTTCCTTGACCTTTCAGAGTGGATATTACAGTTAGTGCATATGTTTATGTATGGAAACAGGTCCTTCAAGGGAAAAGGAAACCTCTGTTTTCTGAGATTACTTTTCCTCTTTAAAAAACCTTTTTATGCAAATGTGGCAGGGAGTAGCAGGTTACTTGGGGATCACCACTCCAAAAAGACTGGAAACCACTGCTTTAGAATCTACAAACCCATGGCTACAACCACAGCAGAACCTGTAACTTTGTAGTCATTTTGAACTTTATATAGCTAGTGTGATATGCTTTCATGGAATATGGGCCTTGGAAACAGTATTTTCAGCATAATGCATTTTGCAATTACAACTGTGTTCTTGTGCAACTGCAGTTTTGGTCATGACTGAGAGACGTATACTTCATGTTTCTCTTATTCTTCTCCCACTGGAGATTAGACATCATTAGGGCTATCTTTTCTTTGGATACAACAGTTCTAAACAATGATACTGTGCTGTACCTAAGCAAATCTGAGGTTCTTCAGCCAGTAAATTCTTCTTCCTGTGCTGTTTGTCACAATTATTTTGGTTTAGATAATCAGATGCAAGAATCTGTAGTTTATGTTTGTCATTAGGTGACTAAAGTATTGTACCTTCCTACTTTTTTTATGTTTGATAATTTCTTCGCCCCCTATGCATTTGCTCTTGTATTTCCTTTTGATCACCCTCTCAATCCAAGAAACTCTTAGTATTATGCAAAAGAAGGCACATTTAAAATAGTTCTTACTTATTAAGATCAGATCCATAGTTCTTACTTATTAAGATTCAGAGCCACATTGGCCCTCTGAGGCTGTCTGTGCACCCTTTAGATGCACCCCCACCAAAAAGATTTTCTGGGGAAAAAGTTATTCAGGAGCAATGGTTTTGGAATTTAAAAAATGTACCCCCTTGCTCCAAGTGAACTGGAAGTGAACATCCAACAACATTCAGTTAAAACTTCGCATCAGTTTTCCTTTGGGTAGTGCAACCCCAGAGGCTTCTGGGGTGGAAAATGCAGGCCCAGATTCTCTGAAGTCATATTAACTACACATTGGATATAGCTGATATTCTCTCAATTGGCAATTACATCATCTAAATTGGCCAATGTTTCTCTAAAAATGTTTGAGTACAAAAAAAAAAGCAGTTCTAGCTCTTCAGGATTAGGACCATCCCATTCTAGTTACCTACAATGTGCCTGCAACATGATCAAATTGTGTGGCACATATGTGACCTTGTTCACGGCATTAATTTCTTCCTTCCCAGTACCATAATGTTTCAGCAACCCAAAAATGCTTTCCGATTCTGGAAAATAAGAAACAAAGGTGTTTTTTTTCTCAACACTCAGGCTGTCTGAAATATGCCCCTGTTGTCCATGGCTGTGGCCTCAATACATACAGCTTTATGAAATGGAAGTACTTCTACTTCCTATTCTGATGGTAGCTTTATTCCATTCCATACTGAATGTCAGCTTCACATTCTGCAGCTCATTAGACCCTTCTCATGCTTTGTTCATTTCTGCCTCCACAACCTTATGCTATAATTCTTCTCACTGGTTGGTTCCACTTACCACAGCTGACATGAAAGGTAGATTGCTCCCATTTTACATATTCTTGCTAACTACTGTAAACAACTTGCTGATGTGCCATGAATTTCTGTGTTGTTGGGGGGAGGGGTTGTAACACTTTTCTATTATATGTTTTGATATGATTTTAATATAGTGTTTTTCAGTTTTGTGTCTTTGAAGCCATTCCATCAAAAACCCAACTAAATAAAATACAAGAACCACCATCCATACTTATTCCTGTGCAGGGGGTGTATTTTAACATATTACTCAGCTGTCAGATCTACAATATTTCATGTATTTCCACAATAAATGCACACTTAATCCCACCAAAGCTTTTTTTAAACATGCACCAATTTGAGTACACTTGCCTTCTTTCAATAAAAAAGATCAGTCCCACCTATATTTTATAAGTACACAACCAAAAAACAGTATCAAGGCAGAAAGAAGTTAACAGTTCCACTTGTTGCTACTCATGATCTCACCAATTCACAACAAATTAAATAAGAATTTCTTTGAGGATTTCTCATGCAACATGGGATAGGTTTTGCATTTTATCAATGTAACCTTATATATATAAGGGGTGCTTTGAATTTCCCAGAAACAATCCAATTCGCAATTGTAATTCAGCCTATAATAACAACTGTGTCCACCTACGTATTCATTCAAAAGGCACGCCATCGTTCCTTACAGCCTTTCCTATTAGGAAAACCGGGTGCAAGGGAGAGCAAAGCTACTTTAATAGTTGTGCAGATAGCGACATGTCAACGGCTGGCATTCAACCATCCTACCAAGTGTTTGCTTTCCACTTGTGGAACGTTTTTCTTGGTGTGTTTTTTTAAATGCATTCTACTTTAAGAACACGAGATGCATGCCACTGCCTCTTAATTACTCCATTAAAAAATAAATATAAGGGCCTTACTCCCTTTTCAGGTATGAGGAACCGATCTGAAGTACGGCTGGTGTGGGAAAAATTTAGGCTCCTCAGGGGGAAAAAACAGTTTAGATGTAGACATATTAACAGGTAAGACATGTGATAGCATCATCAATTAATTAATTTCTTAAAAGAGGAGTTGCTCTGGGGCACAAGCCCAACAGTGGCCCCTGGGCCATCTTACCCACGAGGCCGCCTGCCCTTTGAGCTTTAAAACGTCTTCCCACCAGAAGACCTGAGGAGAAGCCCCCACGCCTGCTCTCCACCTTTCCCTTCTTTTTTTAGGGCCAAGCCTCCTCCTGCCCTCCTGCTCGCACCTTCCTCTTCCTCTTCCCCCCCCCTCCGCCCTTTCCCCTCACCAGCTCTTCCTGGCGGCCGGAGGTCTGCTCGGGTTGGGCTCAGCCCCCCGGAACATGTACCCGGCGCCCGCCGTCGGCCGCTCCCTGGGGAGGCGGGTGCCGCTTTGCAGAAACTCGGGGAGGCTGAAAACTCTAGCGGGCCACTTGCGGGCTCTTCGGCGGCAGCAGCAGCAGCAGCAAGAGCGCCTCTCTCACTCCTCCCCCATGGCGGTATCCCGGAAGCAGCCGCGGCGCTGGAAGGAAACCGGGCCCAACCATTCCTCCTTTCCTCGTGGGGCTGGGACGCCGCGAAGGCCTCGGCGGATTATATTCTCCCCCACCTCAGCCCTTGACTTGAATTCGTTCTTCTGGCTTACCTCTCCCTCCTTTTCTTCCGCCCTGAGAGAGAGAAACAACCGCCCTAGCTCTCCTTCCACCACCACCCCCGCAAGTGCTGGCTCATGTGGTACACTCGGTTGTCACGGCGACAGCGTGTACACCATCAAAGGGCGCCGGCTGGGAATAAGGGAACATGGCCACTTTAGCCAGACTGCAAGAGAGGCTCCTAGGCTTCAAGGAGGAGTATTTCCTTAGGAACAGGTAACGGGAGCCCTCAGGTCACTACGCTTTCTGAGGAGCCTGGACCTTCCTCAGAGCAACCACTGTTCCCATTGACGGGATTCCCCGATTTGGGGTAAATTTCGTTCTTGATTTTAGCCGACGACTGTTCCGTACCTTGGCGAGGTTGACCCGTTTCGCAGGTGAAAGAGTCGCCATGTCAACATGAACAAGTTATGAGGAGGAACACACACGAGACGAACGGGGGCAACATCCCCCTTCTGGCCTGGGCGAGGGAGTTGTTGCATGCCGTCAAGTCGTCTCCAATTTGTGGCGACCGTATAAATCAGACCTCTCCAAAATGTCCTGTCCTCAAGGGCCCTGCTCTGCTCTTTCAAACTTAAGCCCGTGGCTTCTTTTAGGGACTCACTCCATCTAGTATTTGGTCCCGGTCTTTTCCAGCTGCCTTCAATCTTCCTCACCATTATTGTCTTTTCCGGAGAGTCTTGCTTTCCTATGAAAATATGACAGCATCAGTTTCATCATTTTTGCCTCCCGAGTTCAGGCTTGATTTGATCAGAGACCCACTTGTCCATCTTTCTAGCAGTCCAGAGTATTTGCAAAGCTCCTCCGGCATTTCAAATGAACCAGTTTTCTTCCTGTCAGCTTTCTTTACTGACCAACTTTAACACCCCATACATGGTGATGAGGAATACAAGAGTGTGCATGATTTTGGTCTCTAGTGACACATTCTTATACTTGGTGATCATCTCTAATTCCTTCATTATTGCCCTTCTGAGTCTCAGTCTCTTCTGATTTCTTGGCTGTAGTCTCCCTTTTGAATTGATAATTAAACCAAGGTATACAAAATTTTTCACTATTTCAGCTTCTTCATTGTCAGCCTTAAAGTTGTATAGTTTTTCTGTAGTCACGATTTTGGTCATCCTAATGTTCAACTGCAGTCCTCTTTGGAAATTTCTTCTTTCACTTTTATTAAGATTATTTTCAATTTGTTGTTGCTTACTGCCATTAAGAGGGTGTCATCTGCATATCAATTACTGGTGTTTCTTCCATCAGTTTTCACTCTATCTGAATCTAGTCTGACTTTCTGTAGGATATGTTCTGTGTACAAGCTGAACAGATATGGAGATAAAATGCATCCTTGTCCGGCCCTTTTACCTATTGAAAACATTCTATCTCTTCATATTCTTTCTTTCTTAACGATAGCTTCTCATTTACAGTACTCTGTTATCCTTTTATCTCTTCTATATGGGTCTTCAGTATACTGTTTCTTCTGGTGTACTTTCTTCTGGTGTACTTTTCTGTTAGTCATTCAGCATTCCTAATGCAGGTTTAAATGTCTCTTTTGAGTTCTTGGAATTTCTGAAGAGGCCTTTTTTGTTTGCTTCCCTAGTTATTGTAATAGTTCTCTTGGTCTCTATGTGATAGTAGCTGGTTAAACTGTATTCAAGGTTCTAATCCTATTTCTGGCACTTTTAACTTTTGCTTCTTACATGTCATTTACAATTTTAAATATTTCTTCTGTCATCTGACTTGATTTTTCTTTTCACTACAGGCATTGTTTTTTCACATTCTTCTCTAATACTGTAATACGTACCTCCAGTTTCTATTCACAGTCCTTCTGGTTCATGGGCGGTTCTGTTTAGTAATGCAAATCTGTTCCTTATGTGGAGTTTAAATTCATTCAAAATATTGTTTAAATTATATTGTGGCACTGCAAGTCTTTTAGTGTTGTTTTTCAGCTTTAGTCTAATATTGGATACTAAAAGTTTCTGATCAGTAACACAATCCCCTCCTTATCTTGTTTTGGCCAAGAGAATACAGCTTCTCCATTTTCTGTTTCCAATTATGTAGTCTATTTGATTTCTATAGTGACCATCTGGTGATGTCCAGATCTCTTTGGTTGCTTGAAGCCAATGTTTCTTCTAAGCAGTGCAGCTGCACAGTTGTGCAGTGCTGTGTCAGGCATGCATGGTCCTGTGTCAGGTGTGCAGACCCATAGTCAGTGTTTCTACCCCTTTGGTTTTGGCTGCAGCTGGAGCTGCTTGCATGGAGGGTGGAGCCCTGCCCATGGAGGCCAGGGCCCCATCTAGCAGGGCCGAAACTTAGAACATTGCTTGAACACATATTTGCAATATACAGATTGTTGGTTTTTGCATAATCTATGAGTCATTCTGCTGCATTTCTGTCTCCTAGGCCAAATTTCCCAACAACATTTGGTCTTGCCCTTTTACTTGCTCTTTTACTCTAGTCATAAGAATGGTACAGTGGTGCCCCGCATAGCGAGGTTAATCCGTTCCAGATTAACCCTCGCTATGAGAAATCGTCGCTAAACGGAATGTAAAAGCCCATTGGAACGCATTAAACATCGTTTAATGCGTTCCAGTTGGCCTTAAACTTACCGTTCAGCGAAGTTTCCTCCATAGCGGCAGCCATTTTCGCGCCCTCGGTAAACGAGGGGAGGGCGCGAAAACGCTGCATGCGGACATTTCCGGCGTCAGGCGGCCATTTTAGAACCACCAAACAGCTGATCGCCCGACTCTGTGGGAGGTTTGGGGGGTCGGCAGCAAGAGGAGGAGAAGAGGGAAAGTGGGGGGGGAGGACGCGTGAACACGGGGCTTCCCTCCCTTCGCCTGCCTGCCTTGCAGCCTGCCTTCGTCCCTGGGGGCGGCAGGAGAAGGACGAGGAGGAAGAGGGAAAGTGGGGGGGGGGGGGGA